TTTAATCCAGAAATGCAAAAAAGCCTCGAAAAGTATAGTATTTTCTATAGCATTTCAGTGATGAGTGGGAACGACCAATATGGCCGCCGCCTATTTTCATGGGGGAAACCGCTGAGATTTTTGGCTTCAGTTTTGTATTCCGAGATGCGCTATCTAGTGTATATGAGATATCTATGCCACTCGCGCTTGTAGGTCCGTCAGGTCCTTCGCTTCCAAGGTTGGTAAAAACATAAGCTAAACATTTGACAATGGAAACCCATATTAGAAAACATCCCAAGCCACAATCGGGGGTTGAGTGACTACCTCGAATAAATATTAATGCTCAAGTAATGCACATGCAGAGTCGAGAATGTAATTACTCGTTCCAGGCCTCTGGCGACAATTCTTAAAATGAGTAGCCTTTTTTCTTTCCAAGTGCGAGAAAATTGTTGTTTAACTCAAGAAAGGTAGAAATGGACACACAAGACAGAAAGCGCAATTTAAATATCTTTAAAGACAAATTTAAATTTCCAGCCATCCTCGTCCCCAGGGCTTCCCCCCAGGATGATTTCCAGCGAATGATTTGCGTATATTTGAACTGAAAAAATGGGATTTGGGTTACTGGGAATGAAAGACACAAAAATAGGAATGGGAAAATCCAAATGCCATTATAAAGACAGTTGTAGTTGGACATTTCAGAGTGAAATAACTTTAAGAACAGCTACAGAGCAATTTTTATGGAGAATTTGTCTTAAAAAAGAGTCCAGGAAAACTGAATTCACCGAGTTATGGCTCAATGAGGTCATTTTTCTGCTATTGTAAGTCAGTTATATACCTCAAATTTCACTGTGGGACTGGGATTGAGTGTCGGGCTGTCTGTAGATCCTTAATTAAAGAATAGCAAAACTTACGTATATTCTTGAGTCCAGGGTCAACTACCTAAAGATTAAAAGGAATTAAAAAAATTTTAAATTTTCGTTCTGAAGTCACGAGTATTCACATAATATTTTAAACCTGCAAAACATATAAATAATCATATTTGTCCAATTTGAAGGGGGGGGGGGGCGTATTGTGATCGCAAAACGGCCATTTTACGAAAATTAAAAAAAAACACGTCTTTAATTGTGTAAATCTTATTTTCTTTCTTGAGTATTTCCTGCATTTCCTATATAATACTACCTATTTTTACGTTTTTGAAACTATAAACTCAACATTGAAAGTGTACTAAAATTATGTTTGCGATGTTACTCTGAGTGCATATCCACACCGGGCGAGCTTGAAAAATATGCCCAGCCACGGTGGGATTTGAACCTACGACCTTTGGAATACTAGCCCATTGGTAATGAAGGAACTAGATGCTATTCCGAAATATCACTTACTCGAACCGTCCTGACCGCGTAGCTCAGTTGGAAGAGCATTGGGATAGTATTCCAAAGGTCGTATAGGTTCGAATCCCACCGTGGCCGGGCATATTTTTCAAGCTCGCCCGGTGTGGATATGCACTCAGAGTAACATCGCAAACATATTATTTACCTGAGTACACAACACCAACACAGAAAAAAATTCATGTACTAAAATTATCAGTTATACACGAAATAAATTGTTTATTTCACGAGACAATCACGGCTCACGTCTTGGTTTCACGACATAAAAATCCACCACTTCACAATTCAAGAGAACAAATATAAATAACAATACAGGTGGCTCTTTTGAAAATCGGTGCTTCAAAAATTTATGAAACAAATTAAAAAGTATAAATTAAACATGCACTGTTGGATGGTGTCAAAATATTGTTGAATGACCATCAATAACATAGGCTGCATGTTAGACAGATTCCTAAATAAATCAACAAGTTGTGTCCTGTAGAAGCACATCGCAACAAGTCTAAAATCGTAGAAGAGACGAACTATATTCGAGATTATGATCAATAAATATAAAATCTGAAGAACTTTTTAAGGAACATACATGAAAGTTATAGTAGGGGCAGGGGCGAAAAACCAGCATGAGCTCCACCTTTGAATTTACTATATGAGTAAATTCTTAAACACGTCCGAATTTATCATTATGATAAATTCGCGGCAAATTTTGAATTTATCATAATAATAAATTCGCGGCACTTAACACTAACCCTAACCCCAACCCCAACCACTAACCACTAACCACTAACCCCTAACTTTTTTAACTTTTGAATTTTTTAACTTTTTTAAAAATCTAACTTTTTAAACTTTTCTTGCTTTTCAAAGCTCTTTTAAAACTTTTTTAAAAACTATTTTTTTAGGAAACTTGGAACACTAACCGCCCCCTGCGAGCAACCTCCCTTTTAGTGCCATTACATTTATAACAAGAAATCTTGTCTAATGCTTGTGGTTTTATGATAAATTCAAAATGTGCCGCGAATTTATCATTTTGATAAATTCGGACGTGTTTAAGAATTTACTCATATAGTAAATTCAAAGGTGGAGCTCATGTTGCGAAAAACTGAAGTTGGGCAAATTTTAAACGTATGACGCACGTGAGTAATAATAAATTGGGGGAAATATTAAACTGAAAAGCAAGAAATATGTAGGGTAATAGTCGGAAAAGCAAGATATATGTATTAAATGTGTCCAAACACTTTTGCCCTTCGAAAATGTTTGCCTCCCCTTTAGCATTTTTTTTGATTGGTTGGGAAAAATGCAAAAAAATCGGGCAAATTTCTTTCTACCGCCCCTTAATTTTTTCCTCCTCGCATGCCTATGATCCTTGCTCAAGATTTCACTTACCTTTTTATTTTTCGTTCTAGGAAGTGGGATCCGATGACCGAATGTAGCTCCGTTTCTTTTCTGCAGTACATCATTTGCAGATTCGGTTTCCACAGTGGCATTATTCAGTTCACAATTACGACCAGGCACAGCCTCATACATATTCCAAGATTCACATTCCTCTTCACTGGAGCACATCATCGAGCATTCGACTTGTGACATTGCACGAATGCTTTTGATCACATGATTTGCAAGATAACGGTCTTTGTACAATTTGAACAAAGAGGACTTAGATGCTCCATCACTTTGTTTTACCAACGTTAGAAATGCAATCAAACTACAGCCATTGATAACCATCATGGCCAACTGTAGCAAAGATCGGTAATCCATTTTATATGCTCTGAAGAAAAGCAATTGAACTATGAAACCAGACGCCTGCTTTCATAGTGTTCACGGCTACGTAGCAACATCTGAGTATACATACAGGCATGAATGATTTCCTACGACATGCGAGTCCTATTCACGTTGACACATAACTGCATGTCTGCATATTGCAGCACTTATACAGGGTGTCTAAAAAAAGACTCGCTATGGTCTGTATTGAAATTCAACAGACAGTTGTGCATCACAAACTTTACTAAACAGTTCAATTTTTACATAGAACGAAACGGCTGTACGTTATTTAGCTTTTCTATGATACCTTTCTTAAACCGTAACGATGAGAAATGGCCACATACTCGTCAAATAAAATTTGTCGGTCGAAACGACATTCTTCCACCGTTGGGAATTTAAAATACATTCAATTTAAATACAGTATATGCAAAGTTAATCAATCCAAAAGCAACGCGAGGGATAAAACGTTTTGATTACGAATGTTCTCTGTTCAATGCAATGATTAATGGACGTTCTTGTGGTCTCACTGAGACAAAGATGGACGAGTTGAGCTTATTTTAGATAATTTAACATTCAATTTTAATTCCCTCTTGGGAATTGTTTATTGTTTGTTTTCCTTGCAACTCCCAACGGTGGAAAAATGTGATTTCGACCGGCAATTTTTATTTGGCGAGTATGTGGCTATTTCTCCTCGTTACGATTTAAAAAGAGTATCTTTGAAAAGCTAAATAACTGTTCTTTCGTTCTATGTAAAAATTGGATTGTTTAGCCACGTTTACGATGCACGACAGCCCAGGGCCTTTTTTAAGGATTTTCCTGTGGGGGGGGGGG